TCATCATCATCATCATCATCATCATCATCATCATCATCATCATCATCATCATCATCATCATCATCATCATCATCATCATCATCATCATCATCATCATCATCATCATCATCATCATCATCATCATCATCCCACTTAGTATTTGTCATCATTCTTAATTGTAAATTTCTTTATAAACTATTATTGAAATTATTATCTTCTAAATAATAGCACATATCTCTTTTCATATTTCTATTAAACTACAGCTCCTTTTAATTTTTCATCTTATCTCATCCCTATCAAAATGATAATATTCGGATAAACAAATAAAGCTGAAAAAGCAAAATTAAAAATTGAAATTGATTTTTTATATAAGATAAACAAATTGAATGTTATTACATTTGCTATGAATAATAGGAAAAAAATATGTGTGAATATTATTGCCAGTTGAATATAATATTTTTCGTATTCTTACAACCTTTCTTAGAAATTTTTATTTTTAAATTTTGAAATATGAAAAATGAATGGATATTTTATTGGAATATTTCAATAAGAAAATGAAATGAATCTAATTTTATCAAAAAAGAAACGTGAGAATTACACTTCTATTAGCAAATTAACGAAAAACAATGAATAATAAAAGTGGCTAGCAAATTAACGAAAAACAATGAATATTAAAAATGGTTAATGGCATATTTGTTTTTCGTTAATAAGAAGAGCATTGTTGAAATTTCCACACTCAATATTATTTGAACAAATAATAGCATTACGGATATTTTACTTTAACAAAGGGAAAAAATTAAGAGTGAAAAGGAGTGGAAGAGAGAGAATGAGAGAAAGGAAAATATAATTTATAAAAGAATAAGTTAAATGTGATAGCGAATGAAGGGAATTGAAAATTATTCAAACAAACAAAAGTTGGGAGTAGTAGAAATTGCAGTAAATAATTTGCCAATTTTATATATGTGAGAATTATTTATTTATCATTTCCTTAGTCATAATATCTTGGCTTTAATCTTAGCTTAGTCTCAAAATAAGATTCAAACTATTAAAGTTAGGAAATTTTAAGAAGTAGTAAAATTTGAATAAGAATAAATGTTATTATCAACAAAAGCAAAGATATTATAGCTATTTTTGAAATGTCATTAAAATTGTGGAATTTGAAGAAAAAAAAATTGTAAGAATTGAATAAAAATGATAAAATGTTGCAAAACGATGATAATTTGATTTGCACGTAATCGTGATGAATCAGAAATGATACTAAAATATAAATTTTTAAATTAGGATAAAAAAATTAGGTAAGTAAGAATGGATGAAATAATTAAAGTAAATGTATGAGTAAGAAAATAAGAAGAAATTAAAAAAATAAATAATTATATCATTATAATTTAGGCAAGTAAAATAAGAAGAAATTAAAAAAATAAATAATTATATATTTATAATTTAAGAAGGAAGAAATATTTATCATTTCCATTGAGAACCAAACTATAAGTTAAAATTAGGTAAATAAGAATGGATGAAACAATTGAAGTAAATATATGAGCAAAAATAAGAAATAAAAAAATAAATAATTATATCATTATAATTTAGGTAAGTAAAATAAGAAGAAATTAAAAAAATAAATAATTATATATTTATAATTTAAGAAGAAAGAAATATTTATCATTTCCAATGAGAATCATATTATAACTTTTAGGTATAATTTAAGATTATAAATTAAAATTCCACAAAAATTTTTCAAGTATTATCTTTAATGAATTTTTTTATTACACTCATAGTTTATTATAACTATTTATTTAATTGTAATTTAAAATGAAAATACATAGTTTATTATAATTATTTATTTAAGCTTTTTTATTTAATTGTAATTAAAGATGAAAATTAAAATAAGAAAAGAAAATCTCTATCAAAAATTTCAAAATGAAGATGGAAAAAATTTACATACAAATATTATCAGATAATGATAGAGAATATTAGAATTAGCTGCCAAAAAAAATATCATCGCTAATTAAAACCCAAAAAATCCCACAATTAAAAAATGCATATATATATATATTAATAATTCAGTTTAATATTATTTTTCAAATTCAATCATACATTTCTTTGATTACTGTTGACAGTCAAATTTAATACTTTGTATTAGCATTTGAGAGAATAGGGAGAAAGATGAAATGGTTGTAATTTTAATATTTCAAATCTTTTCACTAAGAGGACAATTTAGCTTCTTCCTATCGGTCATTAAATTTCAATAGTTATAAAATACGATGAAATAGAATGGATTCAAATAAAACAACTTGCGTTATATATTATTAATTTAGTCTATATATAATTTGGCTATTTCATTTCGTTATAAATGCATCGAATTTTTAGTTTAATTGTTTAAAATAATGAAAAGGAAAAATTTTTTAAAAAAGCATTGTTTTTCTTTTCTTAATTTGAATTGCATTAATATTAGTTATTGTTTTAATATTAGTTAAAATAATGATAACACTAAAATTTGTTAACTTTTAATAATTCAAATTATGAACAATAAATAATTGTAAAACAAATTCAGTGATAAATATTCTTGAAGGCAGAATTATGATTCAGATAATGATAATATTAAAATTTGATAATCTAGTTAGTAACTTTAATCAACAGCTGCATTTGATAATCAATAATTCAACAGCATATTGTTTATTAAATTAGTTAATTTGCGATAAAAGAAGAGTTGTGAAATTATTGTGTAATGAACTTTAATGAGAACATCGTTTGATAGAAAATCCTTTCAACAAATTACCATAGATAATTTTTGCTGAAAGGTCAAGTGTCAAAATAAGATAAATACTGCTGTATAGAATTGAAATTGCTCAATTTCATGATCGAATAAAATTATGTAAATTCATGAAGTTCTTGCAAAAATACTATTGGCTGTAATTCGTTAAGACAATAAGATAAAAGATAAAACAAAAAACTTAGCAAAATTTCCGGTAACAAATTGAAATGAACAACGTAATTATAGTTTTGTGAAATTGATACCATGTAATTAATTAATTAGAGTAATTTCAGATGACAATAATGATTAGAATGACAAGAATGATACGCATAACGAAGATATAAATGGTAATCATAAATGATAATTTTCTAATAATAATAATTGATAGAAATAACATTATAAATTCGGAATATTTAAATTCGCCAAAAAACAAATCTTCCTAAATTCAAATTTCAGTTCATAAGCAATATTTAAATTAAATTGGAATAAAGAAGATAAGGCCTTTTTTTCTCCTATAGATGCATAATATATGTTGCAATTGCTAATGTCAAATAATTAGAGCAATTTAAATTTCTAAAAAGAAAATTTTATACGGGGTGGTTTTAGGTATTGATTTATTTCACGTTATGCAAAATATTGTATTTCCAATCAAACATTAAATATTTTATTTCAGGTTAGCGAAAAATGCCATCTTTCGCTTATATTTTGTTTATTAGCAAAACATGTTAAAATCGATGAACAAAATAGTTTACATGAAAATGCACTAAAATAGCTTCTTAATTTTATTACCACATTTATTAAAATTTGTTAAGAATTATTTATTTTCATTAAACAACCTAAAATATACTAAAATTATCAAACTAATGATAATTGATATTGATTATTAACTTATGATAATTGATGATGATTATTTATATTTGATTAATTTATTTCAAATTAGCAAAAATTAGATAAAAATGGAAAACAAAAAAACAAATTGAAATGATAAATTCTTTTCATCCGATTATAAAGATATCTTCTCATCGATAATATTTTTATTGAAGAATGCAAAATTATTTACAGTGATGAAATTAAATGTTGCAAATATCAGTGTTACATTGTATAGATGAAGTAAATAATGAATTTATTAAATAAACAATTGAAAATCTATCTTCTTTTGTTAATTTGAAATTAATTAAGCAAATTTAAATATGTAAATAATCAAAATCAATTATCATAATAGATTAGTCTGATAATTTTAGTAATTTTGAATCGATAATTTGCAGGCTTTTTTTAGTTAAATTTATCCTGCATACTAAAATAATTGATCACTCAATAAATTAGTATAACTTAAACTGATTTATTGATTGATCGATTATTAAATTAGTATACACTAAAGTCTATATCCGATGATTAATTATTTATTGTTTAAAAAAAAGAAGTTAATAAAAAATTAAGGAATTAATTGTTGAAAATTAAAATAGATTATCCTGTCAAATTTTCATTATAAACCATTATAGGTTAAAAATATTGAATAAGCTAGTATGCTAATTTTATCTGATCAAAATTACTGAATCAAATTAATGGCAACTTATCTAAATTGTATAAAATGTAATAAATGGTTATAAATTCCAAAAGAGATACATGTATGTGTTTACAACATTGTTAAATGATATTGATATAGAATAACGGGATAGATTGTTGAAAATTAAAATAGATTATCCTGTTAGATTTTCGCTATTAACCTTTATAGGTTAAAAATATTGAATAAGCTCGTATGCTAATTTTATCTGATCAAAATCATTCAATCAAATTATAAATGAAATTAATAGCAACTTATCTAATTGTATAAAATATTAATGAATGGTTGTAAATTGTATTTTCCAAAAGAGATATATGTATGTGTTTACAACATTGTTAAATGATATTGATATAGAATTGATCGAATAATTGTTACAATTTCAAAGAACAATTTTAGAGGTGAAATATGGAAACTATTTGATCTAACATTTAAATCTATAAATTTCTTTTGAAACTTTTTGTTGAAAAAAAAGGATGAATCATTTCATAAAAAAAAAAGGAATGAATCATTTCATTCTTTAATTTTATTTTAAGAATTTTTAAATTAAATTAAATTAATTCTTTTTTTTTTCGGTAGAAAATAAAAAGAAATACAAAAAATGTGAATTTTTGTTACTAATTAAGTGTAAAACAATAAAAATATTCAATATTGTTATTGTATTAGAAATGAATGATAGATAATAAATGAAATAAATTATAAATTTTCATCGTTTTTTGTTGTTTTTTTATATCCCATAAAATATTTCTAACAAAAATTTCATTTCTAATATTTTCCTATAGCCTATTTCATTGTATTTCTTAACTCATAAAATTTAGATTAATAATAAAAAAAAAAAGGAAATGATAATTAATGACGTT